CTGGAAAATGTATGCTCAGTTTGTTGCATGCGGAATTGCGGTAAAGCGCACCGCTAGCAGCATTTTAGCCAACAACTGTTATACTAAGTTAGCTGTCTAGTCTGTGTTTATTTATTTTTTGCAATAAGCATAAAACACAATTATTTAACTAATTGGTAAGTCGTTCTCATTCTGAGAAATACGGTTGGCCACTTGACATTTCAACATCTGAACCAAGTGGACAGGCTAGCATTCTGTTCAAACTGTTGGAGACGGACAGAAGGGTATGTTTATAACAATTCAACTATTCAACCTTGTTAGCTACCAAATAGATCCAAGTTGGCTAAAAAGATTACAGAGCTGCCAACTCTCACGCGTTGGCCGTGAGACACGCATTTTACTGTCTTCTCACACTTACACCCCACACCTCTTATATTTACATTTAACATTTAAGTCATTTAGCAGACGCTCTTATCCAGAGCGACTTACAAATTGGTGCATTCAACTTAGGATAGCCAGTGGGACAAACACTCCCTTTTTTTAAAAAAAATTATGGGGGGTGGGTAGAAGGATTACTGTTATACTATTCCAGGTATTCCTTAAAGAGGTAGGGTTTCAAGTGTCTCCGGAAGGTGGTCAGTGAATCCGCTGTCCTGGCGTCGTGGGGGAGCTTGCTCCACCATTGGTGTGCCAGAGTAGCGAATAGCTTTGACTGGGCTGAGTGGGTACTGTGCTTCCGTAGAGGTAGGGGGGCTAGCAGGCCAGAGGTGGATGAACGTAGTGCCCTCATTTGGGTGTAGGGTCTGATCAGATCCTGAAGGTAAGGAGGTGCTGTTCCCCTCACAGCTCCGTAGGCAAGCACCATGGTTTTGTAGTATATGCGAGCTTCAACTGGAAGCCATTGGAGTGTGCGGAGGAGCAGGGTGACATGAGAGAACTTGGGAAGGTTGAACACCAGACGGGCTGCAGCGTTCTGGATAAATTGTAGGGGTTTAATGGCACAGGCAGGGAGCCCAGCCAACAGCGAGTTGCAGTAATCCAGACAGGAGATGACAAGTGCCTGGATTAGGACCTGTGCCGCTTTCTGTGCAAGGTAGGGTCGTACTCTCCGAATGTTGTAGAGCATGAACCTGCAGGATCGGGTCACCGCTTTGATGTTAGCGGAGAACGACAGGGTGTTGTCCAGGGTCACGCCAAGGTTCTTTGCACTCTGGGAGGAGGACACAATGGAGTTGTCAACCGTGATGGCAAGATCATGGAGCGGGCAGTCCTTCCCCGGTAGGAAGAGCAGCTCCGTCTTGCCGAGGTTCAGCTTGAGGTGGTGATCCAACATCCACACTGATATGTCTGCCAGACATGCAGAGATGCGATTCGCCACCTGGTTATCAGAAGGGGGAAAGGAGAAAATTAATTGTGTCATCTGCGTAGCAATGATAGGAGAGACCATGTGAGGATATGACAGAGCCAAGTGACTTGGTGTATAGAGAGAATAGGAGAGGGCCTAGAACTGAGCCCTGGGGGACACCAGTGGTGAGAGCATGTGGTGCAGAGACAGATTCTCGCCACGCCACCTGGTAGGAGCGACCTGTCAGGTAGGATGCAATCCAAGAGTGAGCAGCGCCGGAGATGCCCAACTCGGAGAGAGTGGAGAGGAGGATCTGATGGTTCACAGTATCAAAGGCAGCGGATATGTCTAGAAGGATAAGAGCAGAGGAGAGAGAGTTAGCTTTAGCAGTGCGGAGAGCCTCACGCATCGAAAGTTACTGCTTTTATTTTTCTAATGAGTCCATTGTGTAGTGTGTTAACCTTTCAACAATCGTTTTGAAATCGTAGCATCTGCGACTGCAATTTCACATCAAGAGCGGAACCTCTATCATTGTCCTGTCTTACCACAGCACTGTGAACCGTGGCACATTTAAGCATATGATTGGTCTTGTTAAGTAAGGGCTCAAGGGGATGCGCGTTTTAAAGAAACGCCCCTCAAGATTAGAGTGGTGCTGAATGGAAAGAGAGAACGTTCTCCGTTGACTTTATAAAACTGTAAAAAGAGCAGCACGGTAGCGCTGTTTTATGTACAATGTTGTCAACAAAATTAGGTTGCTGTTACTCCCGGCCCTATTGCAGAATGCAGCCTTTTGACCGCATGTGCTAAAGTCGATTTAATCCACACTTGCATTAGTCCCCTTGTTTGATGATTGGCAGGCTGTGACAGCGAAAAGGCAGCAGACAGACCTACAGTATGTTGTAGCAGGGAAGTTTGCTAGGGTGATCTGATTTTGTAACTATGAACATAATTTTGTCAAAGTTATTGTGGACCCAGAAGTGTAAGTTTGATTCTAGAGGGGAGATAATGAAAAGAAAAATAATTTGGTTTGGGTGTAGGGGAAGATTTAGGTCATCTTGTCTTTGGGAGATTGTATTATCAATTTACTTTATTTAGTCTGATCAGTGGAACAATTCTCATTCTTAACAATGGGCTAAAATAAAGGGTAATTAATGTGCTTGTCAGCAAGAACACTACTGTTATTCCCCACACTGACAGTATTTTATTATTCCACTTCTTCTCAATTTTGCCAGTGTAATCACATATTTGAAATCTGATATGCCTACTCTTTGAAAATGGATTATATGAGGCTATCTATTTTTGCAGCCATTCATGGACAGTATTGAATAAGTCTTACAAATAAGCATTGGATATTAAATGTTCCAGACCTCTAATATATTTTTTGACATTTTAGTATTGTGCAGATGGTAGGGGGACTCACAACTCATAAACGCATCATATTTGGTCTATGTAGAGTAAGATGATGATGAGGATCTTCAACTAGTTGGCATAAACCACTTGAATATTGATATTCATTCGATTTGTCTTCAAGGTTGGGTGATTTTGAGAAATGTATTGTTATAACAAATCTAAATCGAAAGTCAAATCGCAATTGCAACATTTGGTTAAAAATAAGGCCTCGATTTGTTGCCCATATTGTGCATCCTATGTGGCAGTGTGCAAATTATCTCAAATGAGTGCAGGAAATGCAGACATTTATGAAAATGCAGGAATTTTGGGGGGGTTGCATTGAACAGTATAAAACAATCAGAATGGAGAAAGACCCATTGAAATCACTTAGAATGTATGTGTTGCCACCCTAGGGTCACGCACTACTCAAGAAAATGTAGAACTTTTATTATTCAAAAACATAAAATACCGTCAAATACTGTGAAACATTTTTTAAATACCATGAAATTATATTTTGGCTATTTCCCTCATGTGCATTATGCATGGTTCTGGTAAAAAATAAAAAATAAAAAAAATAAAAGGGCATTTTAATAGAGAGACTTGAATGCCAGATCAATGATTGTTGAAAAAAAACCAGGTTAATCTATTTTGATAAAATAATTAAATTATTATTGGGTCTTATGGTTGTGGAAGGCTTATGTTTAACTTAGGTATAATTTCACAAGCCCTGAATGTATTATATTATTGCTGACTGTTTGAAATGCAGTGTATTGTACCTTTAAATGTACAAAAAGCTTATTTAGAGAACACTTAAATCGAGATATATATCGTGAATCGCACATAAGTTTGAAAAAATCAAAATGTGATTTTTAGGCAATATCGTCCAACCCTACTTGAGTGGCGTTTCATAAGAGGAATGCACTAATTCACAGGGAACGGGCCAATTCCACGCTGTTTACGTAATGACACGTCAAAAAGCGACACTGTCGTAAGATTAGTGAGCTGTGTTTAGGTTGTTTTTGGGTTTCCTGTTATGTTTTGAGAGTGGATGTATTATTTTTTCTTAACAGCCCCTCTAGCTGGTCTTATTCTGCGTACAGATTGACAGTGATGATGGGCCAACGAGGGGTAGGATCGAGTTCATTGGACCCCAAACGGAAGAAACCGGGGAAGGGACAAGCGTTTCTTTCTTATTGGTCAGATTTAGGTAGGTCCCTCCCTGTTCGCCCTGTTAGCTTCTTAATGAATGCGACCCAGTTTTGTCATTCATTCACAATATTCTACAGAAACGCATGGCAATGCTTGAGCTGGGACCAACGTTAGTTTGCTAAATTTGCAAGCAACAAACGTTGGACGTTATTGACTTTTGATTGACATAATGCCATAGGCATGACATAATGCTTGTCATACCATGTTATAGGTTTTACTTATGTCATTATACTGCTATTGTGCATTATATTGTCAAGCTAAATTCACCTGTCAAGGTGCTGTAAGGCAAAGTATAAAAATATATGGATGGATAAATTGATCTATATCCTACAGACAGACAGACAGACGTAAAATGTAGGCATGACTGTAAGTAGCTTTGGATACAAGTGTCAGCTAAATGGAATATATATTATTATATTAGACAGACGGATAGATCATGCTTTTCCACCCCCCTCCTCTCAGTCCTAATACTTTCCGCCACATCCACTCCCCTTTCATCCTCCTCTGTGAATGGGGAGAAGGTCTCGTCCTCTGCTGTTTGACGTCTCGACAAGCATGAGACACTTCGTGACGTCTACGGAGTACTCGGGGGCGTGTGCTGTGTAGTAAAACGAAAGGGCACTGCACACCGACTCTCGTTTATTCAACCCACACTGAGAGAGGTGGAACCATATAAAACCGAATCAGCCTCAGTCTGCAGGCAGTGATATTCCAGATTGAGTTTGGGGTCTAATGTTATTCTGGTAGGCAAGGTGACCGTTAGGGCCTATATGTTATTATTTATAAATGAAGGCTTGTATATAGTCTAGACTACCTGGTCTATCGGGTTGTCTCACTTCTGACGGACTGCAAATCGCGACAATTGACGATCAACTCCTGTTTTATTTGATAATTAAAGTGTTTCTAGGGATTCGAATTGAACACCTTGTCCTCGATGAGAAGAACATTTTCCTTGCCAAGTGCAACCACGTCACACAGGGACCAGCTACTGTTGCACCCGCGGTAGACAACTTTTCAGCATCGCCACCGCAAATTGATTGTATCGTCTGCTGTATAGATCGTAGTCTACACCACCATCATGCCAAGTATGCGACAGTCGTACACCGTGACCGTGCCGGAGGAGCCGCCGCCGGTCACTACTTTCCTCTTCCTAAAGACTGACCAGCGCAGGAAGAGTCCTCCAATGTCGCGCTCAATGTTGGTGTCCACATTTGTGGGTCTGCTTATTAATCAAGCCAAGGTGAGTGCGCCTATTCGGAATGCAAGCAATGCATATTCAGGTAGCCGGTGCCCAAATTGTGACTGAGCGAATACATTGTTAGACGATTTTGGATATTAGGCTTATGGCATATTTCATATTTACATTTAACATGGGATAGATTTGTTTTAGTTACAGGCGACATTTCCATCAACAACATAAACCGCAGGAAAGGATCATGTTGGCAGCTATAGTCTACCTACTTACATAATAATATCACTTACCCTGTCAGCAACAGATTAAATGTGTAATGAAATTGCTTTTAGAGCTTGAGCCCTTTAAACTACACTTTCCATGTCGGAACTTGGAATCTTGTCGGGTCGGTGGCTTAGTTATTGATTTGCCAAAGCAAAAATGAAGTAAGGGTAACTTAAATTATGCACCTGTAGGTCGAACATCCTCTCCAAAAAGTTAGAGGTTATTTCAACACCCGTGATAATATAAAATAATAGAATTACACTTTTGTGTGGTGGAATGATGTCTTCCTACACAGGCCAATTTAGGCTCAGGGTTGTTGTTGCTTTGTTAACAAATGTGGATCCAAATAGGGTATGACAGCATCCAATAGCAATAGCAATCGTTTCAATCCAATAGGAATAGTTTCACATTATGTTCACGCAAACAGGCATCTGAAAACAGCTGACTGCTTGAGCCAGCTGCCTGCCTGTAACCGTACTGTAACCTCGTGCAGTTGATTTGGTTACATAATCTGCCGTTTAGCAGTTAGTACAGAGCTCGGAGCGTCCTCTATGCAAGTGTTTCTCAACCAGGACCCCTGGGGGTACTCTGGGAAGAGCATAATTAATGTACTTGGTGGTACAGTAACAGCATAATGTTGGGAACCACTGCTCTAAGCTGAGTAGGAGTGTGTGCACCGCTGGCCATAATGCACATAATATAGGCCTACTTTCTTCCGTTCCAGCTGTTAGTTTCTGGCCCTGAATGTAGGCTACACTGTACAGTACAGAGAATTAGTGACAAGACAAATGCGTGCCTTTACCTTCTGAAGCTCCAATGCAACATGCACTATAGTCTACTGAAAGGAGAAGAACTAGGCCTAAAGAAAAAATATAGTCTGTGCCACATCAGATGATGTTAACACTACACAATCATTTAAAATCGTTCTTGAAATAATATGTATTTTTAAATAGCCTATATGTAGGCCTACAGGCCTGTATAATATATGCCATTTAGCAGACGCTTTTATCCAAAGCGACTTACAGTCATGTGCGCAAACAATTTTACGTATGGGTGGTCCCGGGGATCGAACCCACTACCCTGGCGTTACAAGCGCCATGCTCTACCAATTGAGCTACAGAGGACCATCCAATATACCACAACATAGACAGGGGCCGTATGTCTCAGAGTACGATTTTGATTTAGAATTAGTTTTGCTTTTAAGATCATACTGAATAAGATGACATGGACATGGGGGAACTGATCCTAGATCAGCACTCCTACTCCGAGACGCTTTATGAATACGACCCATTAATCCTTACATGAATAACCCTGAGGAAACGACAGGGTGAACCCTAGTGGACAAACCAAAGGCTCACCGTGCCCTATAGCACCCTGTCTATCATCAGTCAAGTTATCTGAACACAAAACCTCACAATGATACACCAAACAAACCACAATTCATAATCATTGCCCTCAGTGACTGCTGCTTAGCCCTTGAAAGTCAAACGTACCGCAGTATATACTTGACAAAGAAAACTCTTTTACTTCACTGTGTTCCCTAGTTGATAGAGGAAAGCCCTATCAGCACTTGTGGGTGAAAATAACCTGATTTTGCCTATTGTTACATAACCGCAACACACGTTTGGCCTGTGTCACAATTACGGTGTGACATTGTGTAACGACGTTGAACAAACACCAAAAGATAAGGAATGTCAGCCTATGTCTCCAAGAATGTCTCGCCTTATCTCATGTACAGTAAGCTGTGGGTGATTGGGTGCATGGATTCTCAGAATGGGCTGAGGGCCTAAAGATATGGATGTCCTTTACGGGCACATCTAGAGAGCAAAATGTTCCTCAGTCAGCACCGTCACAGTGAAAGCCATCGCATAACTGTAATGCAACATTATTGCTGCTTTGACAACATTATCAATGGTTCTAATACGTTATCAATGCTTTATCCACCACAGTTTTAGTCTTATTGGTATGAGCAGTACAGTCCGCCTACGGTGTGGCTGCTGGGTGGTGCACCGTAAGCCAACTTTATGTGTGTATGAGAGAGCTATGAAGCGGGTTTTGTGTGTGTGCGTGTGCGCCCAGTCACAAGTTGTTTGGCTGTGACTAGTCCCGCACAGTAAGGTTGGAGAACACAACGTTCTCCCCACTCATACTTTCAACCTGTGCCAACCAATGGAATGACTGCCTCCTCAGAACAGATGGGCCGTCAGCCAATCAGGGCCCTTATTGTTGGACCCCCCCTCCATGTTCTGAGTGAGCCACATGCCGATAGAGCCCATTCTCTACAGGCCTTTCCTCAGTAATCACTGTACCAGTGTCCCTGGCTCTGGTGCTATTTCTACCCAGGGTGTGAGAAACTCACCTGTGCATGCGGCTCAAGCCATATGGTCCGTCTCAGCGCTAACGATGCAGAGTGGGCCCAGACACGCTCTCTGAAGGGCCATGTAAAGCAGCACTGTCTCTACTCAGTACTCACACTTCAGCTCAATGAGTTTGACCTCTAGTCAATGTCTGCACTGCTCTACCAGTGGAAAGTGAACTATGAGAAAGAAGTATGAGGAATTTGGTACCTGTCTGGGTGTGAGAAGTGGCATTGTGGCGCTACATACTGTACAGTATGTGGAGTGGTTTGGGGTGGGACAGGAGATAGTCACTGACTCACATGTATCCGAATGCCGTTTCTACTTAATTCACAGTGTGTGTGTCTATGGTGTGTTTGTGTGCACGTTCCTTTTAGGCCTGTGTGTGCCTGACTATTTGTGTATTTGTACTGTACCCACATGCACGTGTGATGCCACCCCAGTCCTGTCAGCTGTGGCGTCAGGCGGGTGCTGCCTACCGTAAGCCAGTTTAGGTGTTTCATTCGTCAGCAGATGTACCGATGCGTAGCATCACTCCCCACGTTACTCTTTCATCAAACCCTCCACTTCAATCTGGACTAGCCTTGCTAGAACACTAGATGAATATGTAACTTCCAATAATTTCCGATACCCGGAAATGTCCCTCTAATACGGCAATGTGTATTATGGGGACACTGTATACAGTAGGTTACATATAACAGTTAACTTGGGAAAGCAACATTATCCATTAATCCTGCTTAACCCAGAACTGGTGTAACCCAGTATTCAGGGAAGACTACGTTAACACATTATGGCTGGTGGTGGGGGGTATATGTAGCTTACTACGACTGTGATGTGTGGTTGTCTCACCTAGCTATTTTAAGATTAATGCACTAACTTAAAGCTACAGCATAGATGACATTCTAGACGATTCTGTGCTTCCAACTTCGTGGCAAGAGTTTGGGGAAGGCCCTTTCCTGTTTCAACATGACAATGCCCCTGTGCACAAAACGAGGTCCATATAGAAATGGTTTGTCGAGATCGGTGTGGAAGAACTTGACTGGCCTGCACAGAGCCCTGACCTCAACCCCATCGAACACCTTTGGGATGAATTGGAACACCGACTGCGAGCAAGGCCTAATCACCCAACATCAGTGCCCGACCTCACTAATGCTCTTGTGGCTAAATGGAAGCAAGTCCCTGCAGCAATGTTTTAACATCTAGTGGAAAGTCTTCCCAGAAGAGTGGAGGCTGTAATAGCAGCAAAGGGGGGCCCAACTCCATATTAATGCCCATGATTTTGGAATGAGATGTTCGACGAGCAACTTTTGGCCATGTAGTGTAGCTGGGAGGAAGCCCTTTCTAATCCATGTAAAACATCTAACCTTAGACTAACCTTACAGGAACCCACTAGACAGATCAGGTCTGCCTTGAATACTGGGTTAAGCCATAAGCATATAGTCACTATACTGTATAATATAATTTTACATGACATCAATCAAATGTATTTTTAAAGCCCTTTTTCCATCAGCAGATGTCACAAAGTGCTATACAGAAACATTACATTTTAATAATTTAGCTGACGCTCTTATCCGAGCGACTTACAGTTTCTTTCAGTATTCACTGGATAGTTGAGGGTTCTATTTTCCTACTGACAAGAGCAGGCTTAAACTGGTGCCCCCGTGTTTGGTCCCTTGTTCCTGTAAGTTGTCATGTATCCCGGTGTGACTGGTATGACACACAGACATGTATCATGGTGTGACTGAGTGAAGAATGATTTCTGATGTCTCTCTTTCTTTGTCTCAAAAGAACTCCAAGAGTCCTCAAGGCCTGGTGGGACTGAGAAACCTCGGCAACACAGTGAGTAAACCATTACCTCAGCCACTAACACGAGTCTGTTTTTGCACTGTGTTTATGTCTGGTCTGGTTTGTAGTGGATCTGATGTCCACTTTTTGGAACATATATCCCTGTCACTGAAACGTGTACTTCTAGTCTAATACATCTCTCTCTCTCTCTCTGTTCTTGTGTAGTGTTTCATGAACTCGATCCTGCAGTGTCTGAGCAACACTCCTGACCTGAGGGACTACTGTCTGAGGAACACGCACCGCACCGACCTCAACAACAACCGCAGGGCCGCTCTCATGGAGGGTAAGGCACACTACTGATCCAACTGGTAGCACTTTACTTAAGCCTGAATGTAAAGTGCATTATTAGAATAACATTAGAAGGACGTTACCAGCTGTCAAATTCTGGAAAGGTTGGGAGTGGGCCAGTGCGGACTATTTGGTAATAAAACATCATAATAATCCATTATTTCCCTTAGGACAAAATGGTGCAGCATAATTATCATCCTAAGAATATTTCCAGAACCACCTGAGGGACACTATAATACTGACCTCTAATGTGTAACATAACCTGTATGCTTAATACTTATACAGATTGTGTCTTAAGTTGATTTGAAACTAATAGGAGCTATTCTGTGCAAACACACACACACACACACACACATACACTGATCCACAGACAGGGTTTGGAAATGGTTAACATTTGAGCAGTAGCTAAGGTCTGTCTACTACCTGATTGTTATTCTTCACATAGCTCCTCTCCCCTGCAATGTGACCTCTGCTTCAGTACAAGGGCTCTAAAAGTGGTCTCATTTTCTTTCCCCTGTCTCCCTCTCTCTCTCTCTCTCTCTCTCTCTCTCTCTCTCTCTCTCTTTCACATGCACACACACACACAGAGTTTGCCAAACTCACTCAGACCCTATGGACGTCAGTCAGCAGCGAGGCCATCAGTCCCTCAGACTTCAAGACCCAGATCCAGAGATACGCACCCAAATTTGTGGGATACAAGTAGGTTAATTCAGAAAAGGGCTGTGGTCTGTTCTATTAATTATATTTTTATGGTCATACGTGTGCTGTGAGAAAGCGAGTTCATAAATTAGTGTTAGCTATTAAAAACTGCATCTTTCTCCCCTCCCCCTATCTCTCTGTCTCCATCTCCCAGTGAGTCATTAATGTACACACATTTTTCATTTCTTAATTTGTGGTTGAAATAACAAGCTTTTGAAATGAAATGTCGCTCTCTCTCTCCTCCAGTCAGCAGGACGCTCAGGAGTTCCTGCGTTTCCTATTGGACGGCCTCCACAACGAGGTCAACAGGGTCACAGTGCGGCCCAGGCTCCCGGCCGAGGACATTGACCACCTTTCGTAAGTCTCACCTCCTGTAGCAACAACCCAGGAGCATGTTCAGTAGTTTTAACAGTTTTGAAAAGGAAAAGCAGTGTTTCTTAGTGGACAAGCATGGGTGGTCCCTCCCCGTTTCAGTCCGTTTTCTCCCACTGGGCACAGACATTAATTTATGTCTATTTGAAGTTGGTTCTACGTAATTTCATTGAAATGACGTGGAAACAATGTTGATTCAACCAGTGTGTGCCCAGTGGGTAATGAACCTGACCTGTTCTCCTAGGATTAGACATGCCTAGACATGCCTCATGATATTCAGGCAGTTAACTGCCTTTGTAATGAGTCATGTTTTATTGGTTAAATATATTCTCTGGTACTTTTGTATACTTTTTAGCCAGTAGTTCTGAAAGTAGCGCCCAAGTGCCAAAAGTGGTCCCCGAAAAGTGCACACTACTTCACAAATGTGTGGATATGTGCACCACGTCATTGCTCTCTCTCTCTCTCGCTCTACTGTGTATGCATCTTGCTAGCTCTCACTCAAATGGCAAGAGGCTGAAACTCGAATTGCTAGGGGGCTGGCCCACGTGGGGGTAAATGTATGGGAAATGGTGCAGCACAGCTTCCAGAAAACAGTTGCATTCAAACTAGGGATTTTGTGGCTAATTGAAGTAAGTCAGTAATTCTGTTAATAGATTATGCATGAATGAACTACGCATTGACACATCCAGCCCAAAGCTGCAGGTTTCAAAAAGACTTACTAGTCACCAAAGTACCGGAGCATATCTTTAAGTGCTTTTTTACCAACACTGGGTGCCCCAGTTGAAACTGACCTGGGATCTGTATTAAAGAGGAGTGTGTCTTTTGTAGAGGACAGCTTGTTTGATTGTAAACTCACTTGGGATCTGTGTTAGAGAGGACCCAGCTAGCACATTTGGTTCCTTGGAAGTTGTGGGAACGTATGTTTTTGGTTTCCAATTGGTTCTGTGAACGAAGCCATATGTTTCCTAACCTGCATTTTTTAAAGTTAAAATTTAGTCTGTTCTGGGAACATCCATTTTTAGGTTGCAGAATGTTTTACTATGGTTCCCTGAAAGTTTTCCTGGGAGGTTTTATTAACGTTCTGAGAATGGAAATTATAGGTTATTTGAAGGTAATTCAATTAATGTTCTGAGAACATGTTTCAATAAGACTTTTAATAACACTGCTAGCTTAGTTTGGGTTAGCGGTTTTGAGCTCCAAGCACTGATAGGACACATGGAAATTAATTTGCTTAGGCATTAACCTATGAACATGACTTTAAATGGAACCATGAGGAAACCTGTAGGAAACATGCTGAAGTACTGAAATTCCCACAGAAGAACATTCCCACTGGGCACAGATGTCAATTCAATGTCTATTCCATGTTGGTTCAGTGTAATTTCAATGAAATGACATGGAAACAACGTTGATTTAACCAGTGTGTGCACAGTGGGTTGTATCTTAACGTTCTCTGAACTATTTGAGAACATTCACAATGTCGAACCAGTTGGAGAACGTTCCTAGAACATTACCAAAATTGAAATGAAATGTAACCATGTTTGAACTTATGGGAAACGTTCTGTTAAAGTAATGAAATGCCAAGAAAATACAGTTTAGAAAAGGTTAAAGTTAATGTGCTGAGAATGTTCCAAAGCCAAGCAACTATCCTGCACCATTCTCAGAAGGTTGTGGGAAGGTTGTATGCAAAATAACCATATGACAACCACGCTCTCACCAAGCTCTAAGAAACATATGGTTCTCAGACCGTTATGTGCTAGCTGGGGAATTTATATGTTCTAGAGGACAGCTTGCTTGACCATAAACTGACCTGGGATCTGTATTAGAGAAGAATGTGTCTGTTCTAGGGGACAGCTTGTTTAACATAAACTGACCCAGGATCTACAGTACCAGTCAAAAGTTTGACTTTTCTACATTGTAGAATGATAGTGAAGGCATCAAAACTATGAAATAACACATATGGAATCATGGAGTAACCTAAAAAGTGTTAAACAAATCAAAATATATTTTATATTTGAGATTCTTCAAATAGCCACCCTAACAGGACAATGACCCAACACACCTCCAGGCTGTGTAAGGGCTATTTTACCAAGGAGGAGAGTGATGGAGTGCTGCATCAGATGACCTGGCCTCCACAATCCCCCGACCTCAACTCAATTGAGATGGTTTGGGATGAGTTGGACAGCAGAGTGAAGGAAAATCAGCCAACAAGTGCTCAGCATATGTGGGAACTCCTTCAAGACTGTTGGAAAAGCATTCCAGGTGAAGCTGGTTGAGAGAATGCCAAGAGTGTGCAAAGCTGTCATCAAGGCAAAGGGTGGCTATTTGAAGAATCTCAAATATAAAATATATTTTGATTTGTTTAACACTTTTTTGGTTACTACATGATTCCATATGTGTTATTTCATAGTTTTGATGTCTTCACTATTATTCTACAATGTATAAAATAGTAAAAATAAAGAAAAACCCTTGAATGAGTAGGTGTGTCCAAACTTTTGACTGTTAGTGTATGTTAGAGAGGAGTGTGTCTGTTCTAGAGGACAACTTGTTTGACTGTAAACTCATCTGGAATCTGTGTTTGTCTCCTCCACAGTGACAATGAGAAAGGGAAGAGAATGTGGAACAAATACGTAGAGAGAGAGGACAGCAAAGTGGTCGGTAAGTGTCTGAGTGACTGAGAAAAAGTGTGTGTATTACAAGTGTGTGTGTGTGTGTGATGTTCAATGTGTGTAATTGTTTGTGTGTGTTTGTTTCTCTGTGTAGATCTGTTTGTGGGCCAGCTGAAGAGCTCTCTGACCTGCAGTGAGTGTGGCTACTGCTCCACTGTGTTCGATCCATTCTGGGACCTGTCACTACCCATCGCTAAGGTCAGTGTACACACTCAGACATGCAAGCACGCATGGACGCAGGCACGGACGTGCGCACGCATGGACGCACGCACACACACATGCACGCACGCACGCACGCACACACACACACACACACACAAAGAAACAGTGAGAGCTGTGTCTAACTGAGGGTGTTTGTGTCCTCAGAAAGGTTCAGGGGAGGTGAGTCTGACAGACTGCATGCGATTCTTCACCAAAGAAGATGTACTGGATGGAGATGAAAAACCGGTAAGGGACAACTGCTCTTGGTGTGTGTGTGGCACTGTGAGTTTCTACATGTAATGACCAAACCCACTCTCCCTCTACTCCTCCAGACATGCTACAGGTGTAAAGCCAGAAGGAAATGCACTAAAAAGTTTACCATCCAGAAGTTCCCCCAGATCCTTGTGCTTCGTATCCTTTATACTACTTCATATTGGCTTCCCCAACATTGGTTCCCCCAACAATTAAGTTACTCTCAATCTAGTAGTAGTAGTAGTAGTTGTAGTAGTAGTATAACTTTATAGGATGTAGAAGAGTAGCAACAACACAGTATAACCAGAGCTAGAATGAACTGTTTCTAATTAACTAATTCTAGTAACAGCCCAAATCGTTGTAATGTTATGTTTCAAACAGAGTGTATTGAAAGTCTATGGTTCTGGGGTTACAAAGTAGCCAGCTGAGCTATGAAACCCAGGTATAGCTCAACGCTACTTCAATATCTATATATGCTACTATGCTATCATTAACTATCTATTCTACCATGCTATCTATAGCTCTCAATATCTAGCTATGGTACTATGCTATCAATAGCTATGCTACTATGCTATCAATATCTATAGATGCTACTTTGCTATCAATAGCTACTGTATCTACGCTACTATGCTCGAGCTGTACATGTGCTCGTCCTTGACTCAGCCCCTCTCCCAGACCTCAAGCGCTTCTCAGAGAACCGTGTCCGAACCAGTAAACTCAACACCTATGTCAACTTCCCCCTCAAAGAGCTGGACATGAGGGAATTTGCCTCCGAGAACAGCAGTAAGTAGTACCCACCCACACACACACACACACACACACACACACACACAAACACACACAACAAGATCTGTAAATAGGCTAGCACTCTGTCTCCCGCTACTTTTATATCTTTAGAAGAGCTTTTAGGGCCATTTCTTGAAGATTATTGAGTGGTCTAATATAAGTACTGGCTAGACTGACTAGATCAACTGTCTTCATTGAACTCAGGACACACACATACGCACACGCGCACACACAGTTCAACTGACTTGCTTTATACAGTCTATGGATACGCCATCCTCTTTGTAAATCAGGCATTAAACAGGCATTGTTTTTCAATAATGATAGGGGTCTTTTGAAACTGAATGAAGGCCTCAGTGATGTCAATGACATAACACTAATCTCTCTCTCTGTCTGTCTCTGTCTCTCTGTGTATGTAGTGAATGCAGTGTATAATCTCTATGCGGTGTCCAACCACTCTGGGAACACGCTGGGTGGCCACTACACAGCTTACTGTAGGAACCCAGTCCTGGGGGAGTGGTACAGCTACAATGACTCCAGGTATCTAATGACGCCATGATGTCCCCTCCACCCTATATAACCTCCTACATTATCATACTACCACTAGGTGTACATTTTACGACTCGGAGTCAATGGCTCTGTTTTCTGTGTGTTTGTGTCTGTGTGTGTATCTATCTATATTTCTATATATGTGTGTGTGCGTGTATCTCTGTGTCTATAACAATGCTCTGACTAACACACACTTCTTCTCTGTGTCCTCCTTACAGGGTGAGCCCCATGTCGTCCAGCCAGGTCCGCAGCAGTGACGCCTACGTGCTCTTCTACGAGCTGGCCTCCTCCTCTCATTCACGCCTGTGAAGCTACATATCATGGACATATAGGCTACATAAAGCCTGGCAGCCTGGTCATATGGACTACACAGCACCTGGATACTATGGAATGAGCCTAATAGGCCTGTGTCTGGTCTGATAGTTGATTTCTGAGCCTTGCTCTGTATATATGTATACAGTAGCCCTTGGCACTATGGATTTAGCTACAGCACATAGGCTGCACTGTACTGCCAGGATACGGATATTGAGTTGAGGTTCAACCATAGCAGTTCTTCCGGGGACGTTGGGAAGAACATAGGGACAATGGAAAGACCCCTCCCAGCTAAAATAAAATATCCCCTGAATATCACACATGAACGTGTGAGCGAGCAGGATAGAGGGTGTGTGTGTGCGTAGTCGCCATGCCGACGGTGAAGATGTCTCTTTATGCACTACAACGAGGACTCTATGACCCTAAGCCGGAGTTTCGTCATTCACTTCAAGGTCACCACTGAGACATGAAAGACTTTATCACATGACCTTCCGTTCTGTAAATTATTCTATTTAAACAATTGTCACCATATTTGTGACTTTAGAGATTGATGGATGACTCTCTAGCACCATCTGTAGCTCAGTTGGGAGAGCATGGCGCTTGCAACGCCAGGGTTGTGGGTGCGATTCCCACGGGGGGCCAGTATGAAAAAATTTATGCACTCATTAACTGTAAGTCGCTCTGGATAAGAGCGTCTGCTAAATGACTAAAATGTAAATGTAAAATCTGGCGGCGTGGTAGTGTTACACACACTCCTTTGTAGAATGAGGTCAGTGTTTTTCAATGTGTGTATGTACAGTTGTAAAAGGCTTAAAAATAACTAGGAATTACTTCAAACAGTATTTGACCTGGGTTCCAATACTATTTGAACTCTTTCAAATACTTTGAGCTTTTGCTTAAGCCTGCCTGTGGTGTCAGGTGTGCAGGGTTTGCAGAGCACGTTTGGGACTTCCATTTGTTCCATTGCAACAGGAGAGCTTAATCAAGCACAGCTAAAGTATTTGTAATGATTTTAAATCGTTTTTGAACCCAGGGTCGTATTTATTAGTGTAAATAAATAAAACTGGGTTTTTTTGCAACGGAAAACGTTTTACAACAAAAAAGAGAGTTTGTTATTGGACAATTTCAGCTAATCCCTAACCCATTTGGTCCGTATTCGTCCGTTTGGTGTCTACGACCCTGGTCTGTTCAAAACAAGGACTCACAATTGTGTAATTTTCTATCTAATATTCAAATAGCTTACCACTCTCCATTTCAGAGATGGAGCTGTGGGTGTCTAATCAGATTGCATTTTTTCAGCAAAATTATATGGCAATAATTAATTTTACAAGTTGGATGTCCTCATTGCCTGGCTTAAAGGGGGGTGGGCCACAAAAGCTCATGTAACCCAATATAGCAAGCTCTGATATTGCTACAATTTGGAATACAAGTAGTCAATTGTCTTCACTACAGTGGGGAAAAAAAGTATTTAGTCAGCCACCAATTGTGCAAGTTCTCCCACTTAAAAAGATGAGAGAGGCCTGTAATTTTCATCATAGGTACACGTCAACTATGACAGACAAATTAGAATTTTTTTCTCCAGAAAAGCACATTGTAGGATTTTTAATGAATTTATTTGCAAATTATGGTGGAAAATAAGTATTTGGTCACCTACAAACAAGCAAGATTTCTGGCTCTCACAGACCTGTAACTTCTTCTTTAAGAGGCTCCTCTGTCCTCCACTCGTTACCTGTATTAATGGCACCTGTTTGAACTTGTTATCAGTATAAAAGACACCTGTCCACAACCTCAAACAGTCACACTCCAAACTCCACTATGGCCAAGACCAAAGAGCTGTCAAAGGACACCAGAAACAAAATTGTAGACCTGCACCAGGCTGGGAAGACTGCATCTGCAATAGGTAAGCAGCTTGGTTTGAAGAAATCAACTTTGGGAGCAATTATTAGGAAATGGAAGACATACAAGACCACTGATAATCTCCCTTGATCTGGGGCTCCACGCAAGATCTCACCCCGTGGGGTCAAAATGATCACAAGAACGGTGAGCAAAAATCCCAGAACCACACGGGGGGACCTAGTGAATGACCTGCAGAGAGCTGGGACCAAAGTAACAAAGCCTACCATCAGTAACACACTACGCCGCCAGGGACTCAAATCCTGCAGTGCCAGACGTGTCCCCCTGCTTAAGCCAGTACATGTCCAGGCCCGTCTGAAGTTTGCTAGAGTGCATTTGGATGATCCAGAAGAGGATTGGGAGAATGTCATATGGTCAGATGAAACCAAAATATAACTTTTTGGTAAAAACTCAACTCGTCGTGTTTGGAGGACAAAGAATGCTGAGTTGCATCCAAAGAACACCATACTTACTGTGAAGCATGGGGGTGGAAACATCATGCTTTGGGGCTGTTTTTCTGCAAAGGGACCAGGACGACTGATCCGTGTAAAGGAAAGAATGAATGGGGCCATGTATCGTGAGATTTTGAGTGAAAACCTCCTTCCATCAGCAAGGGCATTGAAGATGAAACGTGGCTGGGTCTTTCAGCATGACAATGATCCCAAACACACCGCCCGGGCAACGAAGGAGTGGCTTCGTAAGAAGCATTTCAAGGTCCTGGAGTGGCCTAGCCAGTCTCCAGATCTCAACCCCATAGAAAATCTTTGGAGGGAGTTGAAAGTCTGTGTTGCCCAGCGACAGCCCCAAAACATCACTGCTCTAGAGGAGATCTGCATGGAGGAATAGGGCCAAAATACCAGCAACAGTGTGTGAAAACCTTGTAAAGACTTACAGAAAATGTTTGACCTGTGTCATTGCCAACAAAGGGTATATAACAAAGTATTGAGAAACTTTTGTTATTGACCAAATACTTATTTTCCACCATAATTTGCAAATAAATTCATAAAAAATCCTACAATGTGATTTTCTGGATTATTTTTTCTCATTTTGTCTGTCATAGTTGACGTGTACCTATGATTAAAATTACAGGCCTCTCTCATCTTTTTAAGTGGGAGAACTTGCACAACTGGTGGCTGACTAAATACTTTTTTCCCCCACTGTATATACACAAATAAACAGCATTAGGATATCTTAATGCATCTAGGAAATATAGACCTTTAAACACAGAGATACAATAGGAAAAAATATAAACTATGAATATTTATGATGAATGGTAGCTGATTAATTGACAACTTTCCAAGTCAAATTCATTCAGTGCTGTATAGTCATGACTGACAAAATTACAAGTTACAAGTTTTTTGATGTTGTGTCTATTGTAATCTAATCGGCTCTAAGGAAAACAAGTGGTCTGAGATGGTGAAAACTGTCATTTATTTTCAGTCAAAGGTTCCCCTGTATATTATATATTTTTATATTTATTTAACCTTTATATGCCGTATAATTTTATATGTTCAGCCTCTTGCAATTACATTAGGGGGCGCACCTAGATTTTACTCCAAATCAGAGGAGGCTGGTGGGAGGAGCTATAGGAACATATGGAAACCATGTTTGACTCCGTTTCATTTATTACATTACAGCCATTACAATGAGCCATCCTCCTATAGCTCCTCCCACCAGCCTCCTCTGCTCCAAATCCATTATGGAATGGATTGGCAACACCAAGCATTCCAAGTCACAAGCATCTATGAGGATTAATGAGACAGCACGGAGGCTGAACCCTGGACACTCTTTCCCTAGCTCTACAACTTGCGGTATATAACTTGTGCCTCCAGGATTGGACTCTTAAGTCACCTCCTTATTATTAATAAGTAAGCTTTGATTCATTGCTAGTCCAATACATCTGCTGGCTCACTGCATTTGCATTGGGATGTTCCAGTGTACAGTCCACCATCCCGGCTGTCTGCCCTGGAGTCGCCGTATACAGTGCCTTCAGAAAGTATTCACACCCCTTTACTTTTTTCACATTTTGTTGTGTTACAGCCTGAATTTAAAATAGATTAAATTGTGATTTTGTGTCAATGGGCTACATTTCCATTTGACATTTTAGTCATTTAGCAGATGCTCTTATCCAGAGCGACTTACAGTTAGTGCATTGCAGAGGAGGCTGGTAGGAGGAGCTATAGGAGGACAGGCTCATTGTAATGGCTGGAATGGAATTAATGGAATGGTACCAACCACATGGAAACAATGTGTTTGGTTCCGTTCCATTGATTCCATTCCAGCCATTACAATGATCCCGTTCTCCTATAGCTCCTCCCACCAGCCTCCTCTGGTGCATTCATCTTAAGATAGCTAGGTGGGACAACCACATATCACAGTCATAGTAAGTACATTTTTCTTCAATAAAGTAGCTATCAGCCTAGTCAGAGCTACATTAGTAAGGGGGTAAATAGTCAAGTCCCAGTGTTAGTTCACAATACCCCATAATGTCAAAGTGGAATTATGTTTTTAGAAATGTTTACCAATTAATTAAAAATTAAAAGCTGAAATGTCTTCAGTCAGTAAGTATTCAACCCCTTTGTTTTGCCAAGCCTAAATAAGTTCAGGGGTAAAAATGTGCTTAACAAGTCACATAATAAGTATTAAATAGATATTACTTGTTAGGTATTACTGCACTGTCAGAGCTAGAAACACAAGCATTTCGCTACATCCGCAATAACATCTGCTAAACACGTGTATGTGACCAATAAAATGTGATTTGGATTTAATGAACTCATTCTGTGTGGAGTAATAGTGTTTAATAAA